CCGCTCATCGAGCCGGAACAAGCAGGCGGCGGGAGATTTCCGCACGTCGGTCGATCCCCAACACATTCTGCCGCCCCATATCGGTGCGTTCTCGCGGTCCCTTTTTTGCCCGATTAGAGGCTTCAGTTCGGCCAAGTTGGTCGCAGGTTCCACGTCGACTCGCATGTAACACGATGGCGGGAGCATGTGCGGTGCTCTGCCGACAGCCCCAGGCCCACCCGATTGTACTCGAGCCCGATTCCTTGTCCGGCTTGATCTCCCTCGTTGCCTCGCCCCCACTCCGCCAGCGACATCAGCTGTGCCTCGGCCTCTCGCTTCCCTCTCTCGACGCGCCTGTGCATCGGCCAGCTGGACAGCTGCGTGTCGAGGCCTTGCACACGCTTGAGAACCCGCATTACCTGCCAAAGCCGCACAGCCGAGCTCCTCAGCCCAGCAAACCGACTATTGCAGCGTCTAGCCCTGCTAAGTGGGCTGCAGATGGAGGTATGCGGCGTCGGGGCTTCTTCGAGGTAACTTAATTCAAACGCTCGAAAAGGGAAAAAGAGACCAAAATTCGGACAGAAAATCGCGGCTACAGAAAGGCACGCCTCGACCTCATCAGCGATTCCGCCCCAAATCGGCGGCTCAGGCCCTCCCGATCCTGCAGGGTCCTCACTTTTTCCAAAGCCCGGAGAACCTTCTTCTGGCCGCATCAACGAGGCACTCCTTCCGCTCCACCCGCCGATACCGCAAGGAGCAACAACACGACGACTGCAAAGCGGGACCACTCACTGGCAAATCACCGAAGCAAGCTGCGAGCTTTTCACCCGCTCGGTCAGATGCCAAGGACTGCGAATGCAAAGGAAGATGGCTAGCTCCGGTTGCCATCATGCTCCCCTTTCTGCTGCCTTCGGCATCGCTGGCCCGTGCTACGCCACAACTTGCGCGCCAGCTGCAGTCCATCATCAAACGTAGGCACATCGGTCCATGCCTACGGTGTGCGTCGAACGTAGCCGGGCGCGCCTCGCGAGCCGGCTCTGAACAAGAAGACCTCGGAGAAAGCGACGATCCTCCCCACGTTCACAGCCACCGAGGCAGGCAGACACCCTTCTCGCACTTTTTCGATAGGCGCGTTCCTGTCACGCCCCCAATACAGGAACCTCGGTTTGGCGATAGCAAGGCTTCCTACGACATCACCGCCGCCTCTCGACAAGCCACCACCGCCCTGCGCCGAGCCGTCAGCTCCGGCTCATCGACCGAGATCATCGATTCGTACGACAACCTCGTGCGCACCTACCACAAACATCTCCAAGATGTCACCAGCTCCTCATCCAAATTACTCGCTCCTTCCGAGGTCGGATTCCCGTTGCGCAAAGACGACATACAGAACGCGATTGAGACTCTCTTGCTGAACGCTCGGAAGCAGGGGCCCATCCCGCCTCAGATCGCCGAAGCGTGTCGGCGTATGTTTCAAGACCTCAGCCGGCTCTTCGCCTTCAAGATCGCCGCGAATGACCTCCATCGCCAGCTCTACTGCGTGTCCAGAAGCACCGACGTGGACCAAGTATCAGCGTTTCGCGAGCTGCGCGAGAGCTACCCCGACTGGAAGGTTGCACCGTTTCGATGGGGAATGATCATCTCACCGCTCGCACGGCGCGCGTGCTATGACCAGGCGATCGATGTCTGGCAGGAGATGATGGAGGCCGGCGTGCAGTCGGATGTCCGGCTCCGCGAAACGATGGTCAACCTCTGCCTGGAGAGTCAAGACACCCCAGCGCGAGCACGACTGGAAGGCCTTGCGCAGGGTGCGGACGAGACGGCATTTCACACGTGCATCGTCGTCGTAGAAGGGCTGTGCAATTTCGCCGCTCGGGTCCTAGAGGTCGACGAGGAGCTTCTGCTCCGATTACGGACGCATGCCTCCCATCTCCGCGGTCTGCTCGAATCACGCGCGCCGGACGAAGCGTGCACGGCCGCCCGGGCCGCGCTTCTGCGCTTTGAGGCGGTGGACGCCGGTCTTACGCAGGCGCCCGAGACAGCTTCACGAGCACACGAGCCCCAGTCACCCGACCAGCGGGCGATCGAGGAATTGCTGCTCGGCCTCCACGGCGACGAGCTGAACAGCGTGCAGAGCAGCGACGAGGCGGTCGAGCTGCTGGATCGAGTCCTAGCAGCCACCGATAAAGGCCGGACCATCCATCCCGATGACCAGTGCTATCACCTCCTTATGCTTGGGCTTCTGAACACGAGAGGATCCGACATCCATGCGATCCCTGCGGAAGACGCTGAGGACGGCGCGACTCAGTCTCGCGCACTGCCGAGCCCGAATCAGGTGCGAGAAGCACAGCTGCTCTACGACCACGCGCGGGCGATTGGCGCGTCTCCCTCCTCGCAGCTCGTGGTGCCGCTGCTGCGGGCGTGTTGCGAAGCGTTCATCCCGTCCATATCGGCGGCGATCAAACTCGTAAGCGACATGCTCGATCACCGCGCCGTGCGCAAGGCGACGAATGAGGTGCCAAGTCGAAACACGGACAGAGTGGGTATGGACGTCATCGGCCCTGTTCTAAACGCATGTGTGCGAACTAGAGACGTAGCGGCGGCGCGCGGGCTGCTGTCGCGGCTGCAATCGGCGCGCATCGCGATCGACGTCGATGACAAGGCGCTGCTCATTCGTCCGCTGGTCGGCATGGCGTCTTCCTGGTCCGAGGCATTCGAGATCTACCGGGCGCTGTCGCGCTTGCCTATCTCGTCTACATGCGAAAGCACGGGACTGGACACGAGGGGCTACACTGAGCTGCGGCGGTCACTGTTCGGGCTGTGCTTCACGGAAGACCGGGGGAGAGGCGAGCGGGTGATGCTGGCCGCTCCACCCGAGGACCTGCTCGGGGTGCTGCAGGATATGCGTGCCGACGGGTACCCGCCGACGTGTGCGGTGTACACGGCGGTCCTGGACTACTACTCCAAGACGCAGCCTCCGTCGGCGGCGGGCGTGGCGGCGACGCACGCTATGATCAAGTGGGACGAAAAGCTCGAGCCGGACCTGCCGCTGGTGAATGCGCTCATGAACGCGTACAATCGCATTGACGAGCCGACCATCGTGCTCGCCATCTGGGAGAGCCTCTTGGCGACGCGGCAGGAGATCGATGCAGTCACGCTGACAGTGTTCTTCGACACGGCCGGGCGACATGGATTGCTGACGCTGGCGCGCAAGGTGGTGGGCACGGTGCAGCGAGCAGAACACGAGGCCAAGGAGCGGGGTGCGAAGCGGCGCACGCCCATGAACAAGGGCGCCTGGGATGCGTGGCTCGAGTGTCTGGCGCGCTGCGGGAGGCTGGAAGAGGCCATTGAGGTGGCGTTTGGCGAGATGCGAACGACGCTGCTGCGTCAAGCCATCGAGTGGCACGATCTGGACGAAGATGGCGATGCGGCTGGTACGGTGGCCGAAATCTTGGTTCGGTCCATGCAGGCGCCTGTGCGCGATCGCAACGGGCACATAGTGGGCCCAGATGCAAAGACTTTCGGTACACTGCTCAAGTTCGCCGCGCGCGAACGAGATCGTCGCCAAAGACGCCGGACGGGTCGCGAATCTCCGATCTGGCACACGCTGCGCACCCGCCTGCGCGAAGAACTCAGCTGGCTCTATCCCCAAGTCAGACATATTGGCGAATCCACCCAGGCTTAGCACGCAGTAAAGGCATTGTCATTGCGCATTTGGTGTGGCTAGAGCTTCTTGTCAAAGTGCGAGCCGCGTTTCTCGAGTGCGGTGCGCAGATCTTGAGGGATGTCGCATTTCTTGAGCTGGGTGTAGTCGTACGTGACGCAGTCCTGTGCCGATACGGCGACGATGGTCTTTTGTGCCAACGAGTATGCTGCGCCTCGGAGCATGAATCGATCCTTACCGAGCGGCAGTTCACATGCCTGTCCCACCAAAATCTGCAAAGCCAACAAATAGCATCAGCTCCTTTTCCCACCAATCAAGCAATAAAGAAGGAGGAGATGGGTGGCTTACAGTGTCTGGGTATACGACTGGTCTTCTGTATCTGACGTTGATACCGGCGAGGATGAACGACTTTCCTGTACCTCTTGTGATTTCGAGTTTGCGTTCTGGGGTAAAGTTGTCCGTTTCGAGGAAGGAGTTGGCGAAGAACATGCGTGCGTTTTCGAACCAGCGTACAAAGTGGACGTTGTTGACGTGCTGGAACTGGTCGTGGTCTCCCCATACCACGCGCTGCTCCCACACGCTTGCCCGCTCGTATCCGGCATCTTCCAGCGCCTTGATTCCCGCCTCGACCTCGTCGAGCGAAAAGATCTTGGCAGACGCTGCACGCTTGTCTTCAGAACCTCGTACGCAGGCGGAAGAGAAGGCTCGCTGGCAGGTCATCGTTCGAGTCGAGACCGTCAAGGCAGGCATGCCAAGTCGAGAGCTCGTCAGCCCAACCCCTCGCCAAATAGTCGCCATCCTGTCGGTAGTCCAAATTAGTAGCTTGCGTTGAATGTGAAGGTCGTTGAGGTGAAAAGGTAGCCCGAGAGTGGCGGTGGTGGAATGCGAGGCCGAAGAATGCTTGTCGGTGATGGTTCAGAAGAACACTTTCCTCGACCAGAGCCCGGAGGCAAAGTGCGGGGTTGACGGCCCTGAGCGCGGTGGAATCACGCCCGTTGGCAAATAGCCGAAAAGCCGGACCACACCTACGCACGGGGCAAAATCCAAAGCCCCGCTTTCCACCTCAAACGCTCAGGCTCGAATTGCTCCTTCAATCCTCAACACTACGCGGACCCGCACATCTGCAGCTGTCACATGGAGCACACAGCTACGGTGTGTATTGATGAATGACAAGCCAAATTTGAAGTGAAAAGACCGACGAAAACAGACAGGAAAAAAAAA